CTATCAATCAATCTATCCACCAGGCATTTATTTATTCTTTTAAGTCTGTCAATCAACGATTTATGAAGAAGCATTCATTTTGAAGCATAAACGGACTTATAATTTGCATTATTCTTAGCCTGCCTTCACTCATTCCCACATATCATGAGCATATCATTGCCTTATAAATATCAAATCATTAATCATCAGCAGCAGCAATTCATGTGTCAGTCACTTTTGCAGTAATGTGTTATTTAGACCTTAAACTGTTTCTAAGAGGCTCCTGCCTATCTCATTGACTTGATGCACGACAAAAATGCTGAGATAAGGAAAGTGTGTGATCAGACTTTGGACATAATAATGGTCAGTATTTTAACATTGTTCTAATATATATATAGGATATATAGGATTTTCATTCTTGATTTTAATTGGCGCTCGCGGGCCGCTAATTGTTTGATTGAACGCGATTGGTTGTCTTTTTTGTACTTGTGTCWACATGGCGGCTCTTGACAAGATGGTCGTGACAMGGCTGTCATTGAATCTCTGAAATAAAAAACATTCTATAATGCAGATTGGATGCTTTTGTTAACAAAACTTTTATTGTTTCCCTTGCTTCTTGATTAGGAATACGACGAAGAATGGGCAAAAAAGATTCAAGGAGAGAAGTTTCGCTGGCACAAYTCACAGTGGCTCGAAATGATCGAAAACCGAGCACAGATGGACGAAGAAGAGGGCTTTATGTACGCCGGGGATAACGAGGCGCCTTATCTCGACGCGGACCTCTTAGATCGACCAGAGCTCTTTTACGGACACCCGGGATATGATGACCCTGTCACATTAATGTCCCGTGAAGGAGCAACCACTCCTGATTTCATGACCGGGGAGGCTGGGGAGTATATGGTGTTTGACGACGGAGAGGATCCGTATGGTGGCGCCGACCGGAGATATATCAACCAATACATGATGCAACAATACCCGGGGGAAGGGTACCAGGGCAATGGATACCCGGGTGRTGAAGAGGAAGTTGATGACTGGGGACGACTTATAGGAGATCCTGGAGTACAGGAGCAGTATCCGACACAGGGGCAAATTGCGAGACCGGGTAGTCGGTACGGGGGAAGGCCAGTATCTCCCCGGTATGCCGAGGAAGCGTATGATGATAGAAATACAGATATGTATGGTCGACCAGTATCCCGTGCAATGCAGTATGGTTATCGATAACGTTATTAATGAACTGTACAATATATTATTGTAAAAAACAACAGTGCTTTTTAACTTTGCTTTGTAAAAAGCCTGAATTCACGGTGTTTTCAGAAAGTGCTGTACAGAATGTAATCTTATCCTGGATGAAAACATTAAGTATAATTCATGCTGCAAATTCGTCTTGTTGATTATTGCCCTATTTTACATGGGGGGGTCGAAAGAATCAATCAAAGCAAAACGAGAATTTTAGTCGTATTTTCTAGTTATTTAATGTAACGTTAAAATGATGGTCAGACGCAGTAAATTTATGGATGCTTTGTTACCACATATTTCTCGTATAGTAAAAATTAATCAGCATTAGTCATAACTTTATTTCCGCTTGCAATCATGCTGTCACGGGAGAAAGCGCTTCGGTATGTACAGTTTATACCCTCTTCCTTGCTGCAGAATTTGTGCTTAAAATAAGCTGTGATTTGATCCTTGCATTTCCCGGGGAGGGGGAGGGGAACTCACTTAATAATGAAAGTTGGTAGGTATGCTCGACGGACCTTTTAGGGTCGAAAATAAAACCTTCGTGTACCTTTTAGGGTCCTGAGCTGACTCCGCACCTTTTAGGGTCAATTTTCGAACGGGGAAAAACGTTTTAAGCTTGGTAATAAAGAAATAGATTTTATTAACCTCAATGTATCGGTATTGATTTTTCTACAGTTTGTAAAAGTTTAGCTTTTCTATTTTTAAAGACGTCAAAAATGGTCGTACCTTTTAGGGTCTGGAATCGTTGCCTGAATTAATTTATGCGTACTTTTAGGGCCATTTTTCAATCCGTCCGTAGAGCATACCTACCAACTTTCATAAGGGAGTATCCCCCCCCCTCCCACGCCCCAACCCTCCAGTACTTAAGATTGCGAGGCATCTTCTTCTTTTAACCCAATTTTAGTTGAATGATAAATCAATATAAACGAAAAGAAAGGAAGCCCGGTTCGATAGTGACTTTATTTTCCATTGTCGAATCAGCACTATTTAGTAGWRTTAGTACTATTTATTTCATGGATTTAGTGCGTCCACTCCAATTTACTTTCTTTTACTCCTTTCCTTTCACAAGTTAAGGTGAAACGCTAAGACTGCTAAACCCTTGCCCTCCCCCCCCTCCCCCAACGGAAATCATGTAGCAGCAATTATTTGTTTCGCCTGAAAGTATTCCTCACGAAATTCTATTTACAAACCTAAATCAAATTTTTTGTTATTTCTCTTATTAAGTTTSAGACAATCCCCAATATTTTAGCTCACAGTGAGCTCAATATCTGTTCTCATTATGCATTCATGTCTGTTATAAGTTTACGCGCGCTTTTCGAACTGAGCCCGATCTCAAAAGGGCCAGCGGAACATCCATTTACCCAAAGACATAAAGAAAGTTGTAGAAGGGAGGCAAAAGAGTACTTAGACATCGTTTGGCAATGTCTAATCCAGGTATTACACAGAACAAGATTCGTAAAGTAGACGGCGTTGATGGCACCGATGGAGCCATGCTTCATCAAGAAATTATTGTTGAGATCGATCAGGTTCAAAACCAGATCGACGGACTCAACGAAGAAGCATCTGAGGAAATACTCAAAGTTGAACGAAAGTATAACCGGATGAGAAGACCTCATTTTGAACAAAGAACRGAGTTAATCAAGAAAATACCGCACTTCTGGTTCACTGTTGTATCCTTTTACGCTATGTGTTATGTGTGTATATGCGATTCTAACTTGACGTCCGACATTGACATTACACCAGTGACCTAAAAATACAATTCTATTGTGGTCCTCTGTGTACAGCTGAGGACTTCAATGGTACATGATTGGATTTGTTCAACCGCCACTTCATCTACGATACTCTCCAAGTCAAAAGACTCTTTTTCTCTCAGTCTCTTTAAAAATTAATTTTACATTATCTTGGYAARAGTATTCATTTCAAGCTATTTGAAAAGTTCCCCAAAGTCCTTTTCGGAGGTYGGGTTCGACTTGTTGACTTCGCGGTTTATGATTGATGTCTTGATTTTATTGTTTTTGTTAGTAATTAAAATTACGGGGTCGCAGTTACTTTTTTAGAATATGCTTATCTCCAACTTAGTTTAATTTGTGTGGATAAAATTAGGTTACAAGCTCAAAAAGTTTACATAGAAAATGCAAAGTGTCACTCGTGCAGCGAGGCTCGATCTCAGGCTCTTCCTCTTGGCTCTTAAAATTGAAAGACGCATCAAAATTATACTAATTGGATGTAAAATCTGTCGTTGAAATGATTTATGCCAGTGAATAATGTCTTTTTGATGCGTAAACGGCAATTTGTAGTAAAATAGTGCAGTAGTAACAACACAAGTAAATAAAATGGAGGGACCAAATTAACTAGTGCCCAGGCCCCTGTCACCAATAACCGCTTTCTCGGCCGGTGCTTTGTTATATTAATGATTTTTTACGAAATCCTCAATTTTTYTGCAAAAGTGCCACAATGTYAGACTATTACTGTCAAAATCGGGCAAATAAACTAGTTTTTGCAAAAGAGAAAGATTTAGATTAATTTTTAAGATATATTGAAGTATATAATATAAAAATTTTCATTTTATTATCATAATAAAAAACAATTAATTATCTTTCTTAACCATGATCAAGTTTTCAAACCATCCCCAGACAAACTCTTTGCTAGACGAAGAAGACGAAGGAGCRTTATACCATATGACGTCATTAGAAGTGGAAGAATTTGAGGACATCAAATCTGGATATAAAATCAAATTTGTGAGTACATGTGATTATCTGATTTATTTGTTTATAAATAAGATAGGCTACTTCCAGTACAGCCGTCATTGAGTCACTAAAGATAAACAATTTTTTTTTTTACAAAATGGCCACCAAGGTATTTAAAAAATATGCTGTTATTATTGGCATTTTTGTTGTCATTATGGCAATAAAGACAATAAATATGCTAATTTTTACAATACATTAATTAGTACATTAGTCTCYKTTGCAGCCTACCATTTTGTTGGGCTTCCTGTCTGATAATAGGCTGCAAAGGAGGCTTTTAGTAAATAATTTCTATAAAATAAAACCACAGCTTTCTCTAATTAAATATATTTGCTTTGCAGGGATTTGAAGAGAACCCATACTTTGAAAATCAAGTTATAGCCAAAGAGTTTATTTTAAATGAAAATGGTGAACAGTCATCAAGATCTTCTCGTATTGTCTGGAAGCCTGGAATGGTAAGTTAATTTTATATCAAAGCTAAACTTAAGCACATAATATAATCCCAGAAACCTATAAGGGACTTTAAAACGTGTAACTCTGTGCCATCCGTTGGAACCCAGTCCTTATTTGGAACAATTTGCCCTAGCCAACCAGAAYGGTGGAAGTTTCCAAATATGGTCATAACGTTTGTTTTTGATTTTTTAATGAGCTTTGAATATTCCGACGCTTGGTACTAAAGAATTGTATGGGTGCTACACRTTTCAAGTCCCTTATAGGTTTCTGATAAGCCTTCATTGCCCCTTTCATGGCCAGGCTTTCCAACCTATTAATTGTAAGATAGTTTTACCAGCTTCCTTGAACTACTGAGTGTGATAAATTTTATATTTTGTTTTTGTTTTTGAAAAATGTAAAAACCAAGCATTCTAGGTTACAATCCATCAATTTACATTAGAAGCCAACAATATTCTGATATTTTTAGTCTCATTCTTGACTTAAATGTATTGGGATTGTAGGATTTAACACAAAGATATAAACAACATAACATGATGAAAGGTCTTAAACGTGCACACCAACCTGAGAGCTTCTTTAGTTGGTTTTCTGACACTGGTGATTCTAATGATGAACTTGGWGAAGTCATTAAGGATGATATCTGGCCRAACCCTATTCAATATTATCTGGACCAGGTATGCATTATATAAAGCACTATGYTGCACAATTGATTATCAAATCATGTAGTATTATATTAATATTTATAAAATTGATAATTATTATCAGAATACATCAAAACTTGAAGACAATGATGAAGAAGATGACGAGGAAGAAGAAGAGGAATATGAGATTGAAGAAGGTGTCGAGGATGATGATTCAGAGGGCTTGGTGAGTATATCAAGCGTGCAATATAACTGCAAGTGTGTGCTTTATCAAGCTTATTTATTAAAGAATCATAACCAACCGCCGTACCTTGCGTGTGAAGCGCCATTTTAGGAGGACACGAAAATGGCGGATTTGTAGGATTTCTTAAAGTGAGCGCGATTCGTCTTCCGTCCTTTCAGTTTGGACAGAAATACCTTTAACTAAGTACCTCACAGGTACTATCAATCTATAATTTATTGTATSCTTGACKCATTTRAACGTATGTAAACAATAATACGAGCGCKCAAGGTACGGCGATTGGTTATGATTCTTTAGGGTTTCAGATTATCAAATCATAAGAGAAACTGCTAGATAGAGCAGAGAATGAAGTTTCCAAGATTCTCTTACTTTTCAAGAAGTTTTTCTATCCTTATTACAGCAAATATTAGTGTGGTCAATATTACATCAGCATTGTCTGAAACATTTCTAGAAGCTGTCAGTCACTGCAAGAATCTGTCAATCAGCTTTTCATCAATCAATGATATTGTTACTTCTTAGGAGGACGTGGGAGATGAAGTTGTGGTTGTTGGAGATGATGAAGATGATGAAGATGTGGATGACGAAGASGAAGAGGAAGAAGAGGAGGAAGAAATTGAAGATGCTGTTGGAGAAGACAGTCGAGACACTGACCTTGGAGATAAAGATGTGGTATATGAAGATGACGATGAAGAAGACGAGGAAGAAGTTGAGGAAGATGATTTAGAAGATGAGACTGCAAATCCCAACTTACAGGTAGCATGTTGTCATCTTTAAAGAAAGTGCTTTTGAAGTGTATAATAATACGGCTTCACTAAGACGTCATGAATAATAATAGTCTCCTTCACGGTTCCCTGATCCATCTTGGAAGGTAGCCCTGCCTTTACATAAAGCGAGACAACCATTGAGCTTCCAATGATAGATGCCAGTGAATAATTTTCGGTAGGTGTGAAAAAAGTTTTCTATCATTGCACMCTCAACGGTTGTCTCTCTTTGATGTAAAGGCAAAGCCACCATTCAAGATGGTGAAGGGAACTGTGAAGAAGACTATTGCTAAGGTGATTACAAGAAACTATGGGAGACAATAGTTGTATTACCTCAGAGGTTATGAACACTTTCTAAGACTAGTAACACGTAMAACAACATTTTATAAACAGGAGAAATCAGAAGAACAGTTACTAGAAGAAGAAGATGAGGAAGAGATTGAAGGAGAAGAGGAYGACGATGAGGAGGAAGAAGGCGACGATGACGGAGCTGCYGCTGGAGAAGACTGATACCAYRTGTAATTGATAAATATTTGTACTATAATTCTACCTTATATCTGCTGTATATTGTGTATAAACACTGAAATGGTAGGAGTATTATATAGCCTGATAAGATTAAAGTCAGGCYGGGAGTGGGCCCATACATAACACAGGCAGCCCACTCTTGATGGAGTTGTTTAACTRTTTGCTGGAGAATTGCAATGGGCATGATTTTTTGATGAGTTCTTTCTTACTCAGTTTTGTACAATATATATCTGAAAAACATTTGTTGTAAGATGTTGCACAAATTAACTTTATCTGCAAAACATGATTCCAAATTGTGCATTTTTTTGAARCGTTTTTTATGATATAATGAGGYATATGATATTGGGCTGCCTGTGGAGATATATCAAGGTWAWTGTTTGATAATGGGCTTCCTGTCTCATAGACAGTTTAATTACAAAGGGATCCCAAAATCATACATTATCATTCACATAAAGGATTCAATCATGAATATGCTATTTCTTTAGGTACTTATAGTACTAAAATGTTATCTAACTTATTAATATATCTCTCCAATCTTTTGCTACTTTTGGTACTCTCTGCTTTCTTGTAGACAGTAATTAGACAGGCCGTAATTAAGTCAAACAAATCACAAATCTTAACAATTCTCTGTCCAAAGGTAACTTTGCAATGCATTGAAGTGAGTAGACTGGTGAGCATGCTATCWTAGATACCTTCTGCAACCTTGTCCATAAGGACCTGCTCTTCTCTATTTTTAAGAAGGTGGACGATTCAAGGAACCAACATATCGAAAATAGCAAAGAGCAAGGGACGGGGTTGTACCTTCTGCAGACAGGTTTCTGGCATTGTAAGTTCATTGGTTGTGTCACTTCAATGCTAAGGCACAGCTAACTAGTTTAAGTCTTGCAAAGGGATTTGCAAAGGAGATGAAAAAGAAGTATGTGCATTGCATTGTGCTCAAAGTCTAAAACTGTATCAGAAATGTTTCTTTTAAAAAATGATCATTTTTTTCATTCTATTACCATACATGTACTTAGCAATGCAGTTTGGTTTACTTRATTTTGACAAAATTGTTTTTGATGCCAAATTTTGGAAGGTCATAAATATGGAGCCATGTCCAAGTAGATCTTTTASGTAAATTATAATTATCATAAGAACAATCACTCTATTATTTCCCATAAAAAAAAACAGTCATAGCTGTTTATAACGTAATTTCGTACATCAGTTAAGATCCCTTTTCAATTATTTTACTATCTAAGTTAAAAAAGCTGCAATCTTGCCCGAATGGTTCTTAATTGTGACCGAAATGCATCGATTGATATAATTACCGTGCGCTTGCAATARCCATTAGTCATTTTGCTCAGGATATGCGTTTGTAGTTAACCCTGCATATATACTTTTTTTAGAAAGCTGTAAAAGAATTTTGAATCTTATAATCACTTAGAAATTTGATTTAGCAATTTGGAACCTGATTTCTTACATTAAAAAGTACTTTTTCAAGACGTCTTTATTTTCCTTGATCACCCAATTGAATTYATCAGTTTTACTATTTACATATGACCATTGGAGGCGGATCAATCTCATGGGTACATGAGATGTACGCGCTTCCCTTCCACAGGCTACTTGTTTTTTTTTCTCCTGTTGGTAGGTTTTCACYCTTCCTGAAGTAAATCCTGGATCTGGCCATGCATTCTAAACGTTTTCCTCCTTCCAGCTGTGATGGAACGAAAGACCTTACCTACCATCTCTATCGTTTTACCTGTGAAGGAAGACACGGTTGTAAAATGTGATGACAATTGCATGGAAACAAAGAACGACTTGCCAATTTTCTAGATTTCACAAATAATGGTGAATTCGAAACCACATGCATGAAATGGAGAAAATTCATTCAAATTGAGGGAATCTATACGTTGCGGGGGAAATCGAATTTAATTTCAAGCGCGCACATGTTAACRAGCCAGCTTTGCGAACTTCATGACGGTGGGACTTGGCGGGTGTCAAAATTTAGAGACACAACATTGCGCTCTCTTGGCATACGAGGTTGAGGGTTCCCTGAGATTCAAGCACAATTTGCAGGCATTAATCAACTTTAAAACTGTAGGAGGTTAGATAAACCTGTTCAAATTTTAACCTAAACAGCTGACAAGCTTGCATTATATTAATGTTTTCATACATGCCTTTTTTAAGATGGTAATTTTGGCTTTTTTTCGACATGGGACAGGTACGAATGGAGAGGAGCAACTTTGCACTCAGTTATCGGGATAACAGTTGGAATTTTATAAAACTCGATAGTGTAATCAATTTATAACGCTTGMTACTATAGCAACCTTTCATTGGACACCATGTCTGTAACTTGACATCAATATTTATGTCTATACACTTCAAGTAGCTTAAACCAGRCGGAATTCAGGATGGGRATGTACGCCAGAATTTTAGAAATGAMCTCTGAATTGCATGTCYGGGCCAATAAATGGGTGTGGTAACTCAAAGGGGGTGCTGTTTTAACCACTGTTTTCTAAAAAAAAATCCATGCATAATACTATAAATGTTGTCCTATCATGCAAGTTCACTGTTTTATTGTAACACTGAAGGGGCCMATTATAAGTGGGCTGTCATACARCATCACTAAAACCATAAACCGCGTTGCAGGTATCTGTAAATCCGCGCCAACCGAACAATATCTTCTCAACCCTAATCCGCCAYAAAAATGAGAGCAAGTACGAAAACTCACCTATAGAATCAGCAGAAACCGGCAACCGGCAACCAATAAAGGCATGGCGCTTGGAGAGCCCTATAGACCCCCCTCCCTTCCCCCCGTGAGTGGAATGTAAATCGTGATCTGCGGTAACTAGGGCAGAAATATTGATTCTATCTGAATAATGTTGTCTTGACCACACCGGATGGTTATTAAACTTGCACCACAGTCTACGGATGCTTTGGGTAAATCCAACAGCAATAATGAAATGCTTTTGGACCGATTATATCGAAGCACCCACAATGACAGYTGCGCAGTGCATGCATAGTTTGTATTAGTCAATAGCCTCCTTTGCAGACGTTAATAGTATGGGAGGAAAGTATGACCGATACCGTAACKCCTGCAATGGAGGCCGAAAAACTGGCAGGTCTTTTTTATATTACTCAGAATGGTTTGGATTGTTTATCCAGAGATTATTCGTCCAGATGATCGGGAAATCATCAATCAGTCAGCTCATCGTCTGCAAGGCAATGCCAGCCAAATCCCTCCCCTTTGGAATTCCTCTTACTTTCTAAACAGTCTAAACAACTTCAATGTCAAAAAGTTCACTTYGAAATTTTATGCCAGAAGTCKTCATCAATGTCGAGTAATGTTCTTTTTTCATATTTAACATGTGGAAAATTTGATTTATCTGTTTATTTTATTAGCAACGTGAATTGAAGTAGATACTTGTAAAAGGATGTCGCATGATGTCAGCCAGAATAAATATCCCCTCCCCCCTCCCCCTTTGGTAAACTTATAACCTTGAACGACCGCCATTTTGTTGATAGATCCATGACGATGACATGACGAACTATAAATAAAGCTATTTTGCAATGTTCCTCCACGCCACAGCAACCGGAAAATGTTATTTGAAACCACAAAGAAACTCTTCCACGTTGGAAGCTGTCCATAGCAGTTTCACCACGCCGTTACTTCGCTGTTTGCTGCAATGGYGTCCTTTCTCAAAGCAGTCAAGATGATCGGTATTAACGTCGACAATTGTCCAGGGAACTGTAACGACAGAGGTTCTTGTGTGGCTGGAAACTGTATTTGTGAGGTTTGTAAAGTCTTTGTTGACTGACTGAATTGTAATCACGTATTTGGGGGTATTTGYCGTCCTTCCTTAGAAATTCAATCGCTTASTTCGTCACATTTTCTGCTCCGTTCGCTTTCGCTCTGTACTGTAAATTGTTTTTTGTTTTATTTGTTATGTCTTTATCGGAATAGCTTACTGATAGATTCGCCGTATTATTCTTGAAATGGAATATGGTCTACATATAACTTAAGCTTAATTTTTGTTTCGCTTAACCGTTATCCTCGAAAATACGAATTTAAGCTTAATGTAACTTAAGCTATCAAAAATATCATTGCTGCATTTGAGTTCGTTGTTTGCACATTTTGAAACATTTATATGATAGTTTGTACATTGCATTGCATTCACATCTCGATGAAAACGTAATGATAATAATTGTGGTATATATTTATATAATATTTGTCTCTTCAATTAATAAATCAATGATATCCATGTTATTGATATATTAATAAGCTGTATGAAATCAATAAATATTAATCAATTAAATTAAGAAATATAAAATGGTGCGTGCGTCTCTGTCCTCTGATATAAACATGGTCGTCATCCAATCAGTGCATGTTTTATATATCAAAAAAAAATGGTGGGGGAGGGGATGGGGGCAGGGCCAGGAAACAGGAAATAGGCAAATAACCATCTTGTTTTGAAGTTAAGTCTTATTTGCTTTACTCTAGAATTAAGAAACCTATTTTAAAAACCTAATTAGCCTAAAATTGTGTTAACCTGTTTAGGCTACTTCCCAGATATGTAGGTTCTTATATGCGGGTTTCTACTGTACTTAAAACTAGTAATGAATAATTCCTGCTATTATTTATATCTTATATGTGCTATTGTAGGTCCGATACAGTGGYGGAAATTGTACAGAGTCCAATATGGGATACAATGTTGGATTTGGCCTTACGTTCTCAATACTATGYGTTGTATCGTTTATTCAGTTGGTATGTCAACACAATCCTAACCTGCCATTATACAGAAAACTGACCTCTAAGGCCCTGTTTACATGAGATAAGTTGTCCTATTAGTAGAGCAAAACTCTTTTGTTTTCAATCCTCCAGAGAAAAGAAACAAAGGAGTTAGCTCTACCAGGTACGGGCACCCTCATGTAAACAGACCCTAAATTCACCAAAAACTGTCAAACTGCCAACCTCTACAGCGTCCTACTTGTAATAAATGCATTGATCTGACAAGTGCATGACCTGACTACATTTTTAACCAATTATACTGATCAATAACACTTTGCCCTATTAAATGTCTTTGGCCTCTGAGGGAAGGTATCCAGTACATTCAAACTAATCCACCAATGTTTTCCCATACAGGTTTTATGTATCAAGTCAGAATTTCAAAAGTTAAAACGACCATCCATAGCCAAAGCTTGCAGACCTACTGTCCAGAAGATGGTGTACATTTGTATGATTATTGCTTGTGGTTCAAGGGGAGTTTACCATTCAATTCAGGTAGAGTAAGGAACTTTATGGACATTGGTGACTTACTTATATGGTATTCATTTCTTTCATCACATGAGGCTACGGTCAGACTGTACTCCCAGTGACCAATTTTGAGAACCTGGGTACAAGTCCCTTTATAGATATGCCCAGGGGCTTTTTAAAAATAGTGCAGCTCTGCGAGCATGAAAAAGCAAGGAAATTTAGGGCAGTTTAGTTCAGCGWCTGTGTTCATTTTGGCGTCTGTGTTTCTCATTTTCACAGGCTGTTTTTTGTTGTGATAGTGTTCAGATAAGGTGGAAAGCTATAAACATGCAAAACTTGTATAACTTTAAGTCAGGCTGGTAATAGGTATAATACATCTACTATATATGGATATTTTATTGTTTTTCAGGAACACTTACCAGGATGGCTGGCTCCCAATCTGTATAGTGTATATTATCCAATAATTATGTCAGGATTCTCACTTATTATTTGCTTCTGGGCAGAAGTAAGTTTCCGTAATAACATAGTCGCTCAGATTTTAACATTATTTTTATTGTCCATTTTTACTGCACTATTGATTACTATTGAATATTACAACATGCATATGTACTCATTTTATCACCATCACCACTTTTTAAAATAATAATCATTAGTAATAATTTGTTATTTGTTTTATTAGACATTTCATGTGGAGGGTTTACGTCTAGACAAACCAAGATTCCTCACTAAGTCGTCCATTGGTTTTATCATATTCAATGTCTTCATCTATCTGGTTCTTCTCGTGCAGGTCATAACAATAGAAGTAACTGATAGCAACACAAAGGTAAAATACTAATGTAGACCCCCCTGTATGGCTGAGGATGCAAGCTGTTTGGGGGGGGGGCAGCTAGCATTTGAATGACAGCATTTTTTTGTACCATCTTTTTTTTGGTAAGGTCTTTGTTGTCATATAAAACAAACATTACTTGACGTCACTTGAGAAATTGGCATTAAACATTCCCATTCATTTATCTGTCTTTAAATCTCTTCTTTTATTCCCGCAGTAAATTTTTCTTTCTTTCCTTTTATTTCTAGGCATATCTTCACAATGTCTTCAGTGGAATCTTTGCATCTTTAATGTTCYTGGTTCTGATTTTCTTCTTGATATATGGAGTGGAGCTTTATTACATGGTWAAGTCTTCTTTACAAACATTACTTTGTAAATTTCTACTCTTGGTGTTGAATGTTACATATTGTATATCAAACAAGTAAATTTATTTATGCTAGCCTGTGTAGCGGCTCTAAGGGGACTGGGTGAGGGTTGAGTGGAGAACAGGGGAGGATAAAAACAGCCTGCAAGTGACTAAGTCTGCAATATTGCATTATGATGCAAATAGATTAAATGCGAGCTAAAATGTTTCCATAAATGGAAGATACATATACAAGAGGCATATATATTATACATGTATAAATGATAATCTTTGAGTAATCTGTGTATTAGACACTGTTCAGTCTGGATACTCTCTTTATATTCATGCATTTGATCTCTGTAGGTCCGTGGGGCGTTTATTACCCGACCAGCCAATAATGTTGATTGTGCACAAGTTACAATGTCAAGACTAGGACTTGTATCCCAAGCAGTATTCCAGGTAAGTCAGTATTGTACCATTAGCCATATTGCTGGAGTGTAATCAATAATGAGATTTCTATGTSAYAACTAGCTCYTGACAACRCTGTACCTGATGGGCGATGTGATGGGGAAAGTATGGAAAGACAGGTAAGACATACATGTATTAACTTTGAATTTCACATCAGTTCAGAAAATAATGCATTTTTGCTTGAAAATATCTGCAGGAGACATGRAATAACTTTCGAACATTATTTTTCAATTATTTTTCAACATTATTTTTTTCAATCATTTTTATTTTTTTGTTAAAGAGTGTGCCAATAAAAGAATATGTTTTAAAAATGTTGTCTTTTTTAATCACATATTTGGTTTTAAAATTAATTTTGGAATTAAAAAGAGGGAAAATCATTCTTTCCTTGAAACAGATTGTACARGAMATTAATGGTGTCAACACGGTGTGATTGTCCTTATTACTGTCCCAATCAGCTAAGMAATGTTTGATCCACAACAAGTAGTATTTAAGTAGTTTGTAAAAAGTCTTTTTTGTTTCTCAGCCTACCTGTAGACATGAGAAATATGCTAGAAATCTTGTTCAGAGTGTTTGAAGTGGCAGTAGCATTATGGTTTCCTTGTTGCTTTTGGAACTGG